TTGTCAATATTTTTTTTTTATTACAAAATTAATGAAGAAAAAAAACAACTCATTTGACATGAAAATGCGCAGTTATAATTTACATGAAAATTAAACTTAGACCTCACGGATCCTCACATTCAATCTCCTTACCCAAATTGAATGAAGAATCATATGAAACACGTCAAACCTCTTAGCCGGAGAATTTACCTCAAAATGTCGCCTTACCTTCAACACTCTCCGGTACATCCTTAGATACTGTCTCGGCGATATCGACGTCAAGATTGTCTTCAAATTCGGTATGTCTTCCACGGAAACGACCACCGAGAATGATCTCCAATTCAACACATCGCTGAATGGAGGGACGTAGCCTGAGTTTATCAGAACCGGGACGCAACCCGAGTAAAGTGCTTCGACGATCCTCGGGCTTGCAACCTCGTAACCACTCGGACAAATGCAAAACTTACTGTTCCGCATCATGTCCGAATAAGACGTTCCTCTAGGGAGATACTTGTGGACTCTGATGTCATTATCTTTGTTCTCCCAATGCTGGAGAAGGATTGGCCTTACGGGTCCGTGTACACCTCCTGCAAAGAAGGCAAGGATCGGGCGGCTTGAAGGTGAGGGGCCACCGACTAATCCAGTCAAGGATCCAGTCCGTAGATTGATCTCGGGTATTGAGACATCTTTTTTAGGTTTGAATCTCTCCGACGTGTTGGCATTGCATAGAGCGCGGATCGAATTCTGTCCTAGATGTGGATGAGAGAAGCTTGCCTCAGGACCCTATACCAAAAAACAATCCAATATTATAGAAGAGATTAAGTATCTAAAGGTTATGTGCTGAATAACGCGGGAAATGTATAGTGCTAGCATACCCAGTCGTGGCAAGAAAGTATGAAATGGTCAGCGCCTATGCTGCGGTTCCAAAACGGATATCTATCGCTCACGAGATCGATGTAATCCCTGACGGTGTTTCGGATGGAGCTGAAATCGCGGGAGTTACGATCATAAACGAATCTTACCATCTTGACAACACTAAGGGGTAAATAAAAAGTGTGGGCCTTGTTGGGATTATTGGTACGGAAACGGGAATTTGTTTCCATCTCGTAGATGAAGTTTCCTTCCATAGAGTATATGCTTTTGCATGGACCGTCATGGAATAATGGTGGCTCACCTTCTTTGTACACAAATATCTTGAATTGTTTCTCCATCTCCAAGTAGCTCCTATGCAATTCAAACGAAATAAGAAAACAAGCATGAGCACATCGCGATCATGTTAGGAAATCTTCATGGCAAAATATTATTATCATTCTCACGTTAGAACCCACATGATAAAGCAATTTATGCACATGTAGATATATCTAACATAGTAGAATGTTGTATATAGATAGTATGTATACATTCAATTCATTAACCTGGATTTTCACATACTTAGGGCATCTCCAATGTATATCCCTATCATTATCTCTAAAATATAGTCAAAAATAGCATTTCTCTATTTTCTCTCCAATGTACGAATCTATTTTAGAGAAATGCTATTTTTTTGTCTTTTAGGATATGACAAAAAAAATCTCTATTTCCATCTCCAAATATAGAGAAAAAAATAGCAATTTCTATTATAGAGATGAATATAGAGATGTGTTGGAGTAAATTTGACTCTAAACTCTATTTTAGAGATGAAAATATAGATGGGTTGGAGATGGTCTTAAACGTTTAATATCTCTTAATTACTCAACAATAGTCTCGTATCAACTGCCTCGTGTGGTCTAAGTTAATCTAGTTTTCAAGATTAATTCACAAAAACAAAAAAAAACGTAGAAAAGAAGAAGATCAGTTTTAAAAAAATGCTACCTTTTTTTGCTAAACCATAAAAGATGGGCGAATCTGACATCTCTAACATTTACTAATTTAGTCCCACGAGAAATAAAGGTATGTGATACTTTTCTTGTCTTAAGCATATAAGTTGGGACAGAAAAACTCTTTTGCACTTTTAATTTAGTGAAAACAAACTATATAAGTACTATGTAATAACTCCATCACCAAGGTACGTAATGCATTAATACATACTACATACATCTAGCTAGTCGTCACAATTAAAATTTTTAGCAGTTTTTCGAATTTAAGTTTTCCGATGAAGTCTATGGTAGCCCAAAGTTCTTAACTATTGATAGTTACTTATATGATATGGTGCACATTTTAATAAATGTACTCAATCTAGTCAAATTTAAAAACCAGCTTAACCTAATCCTATAATCTACTTCAAATAAAACAAACAAATAGTATAAAACACACTATTCAAATTTAATAGAAACTCCCTTGCCATAATAATTACACCATCAATTAGTAAAAAACTAACTCCAAGCCACAATTTCAATAAAATTCATATATAGTGGCAACCCTTTTGACTTAAATTAAATTCAAATAAATTCTTAGCGAACCAATAAATTCATCGTTCCAAACCCGTTTGACTTACTTTAATTCAAATAAATTCTTAGCGAACCTAAACGTTGTAAATTCAAATTAAATTGTGTATTAAATGTAGAAGTTAATAAAAAAGAAAGTAACCATAATTATCATTTTAACTTACCGATGAAAGACCTTAGCATTCCAATACATAGGACCAAGAGGTACGTAGTCCGGGTCGTCTACGGGATCATCGATCGAAGCGGCTTTGATTGCAGCTCGAGCTTTTTGGAGCTCCAATTCAATCTTCTCTAAATTGCTTAAAACTCTTTTCTTAATTACTTCCGATGATGCCGTCGAAGTGACGTTATTACTCGTTGTAGTAATGTTGATCGGATTCAATTGAATTGTCCTATTATAAGCATCCTGTTTCAATATATTTAAAATTATATTATTATGCAAATATAAAAAAAAAAATATTATTAAATGACATGTGTTGTTGATTAATTAGTTACAATTTAGATCACCCGACCGCACTTATATCACAAAACATTTCTCAATAATACTATTTGTTTCACTAATTTGCGGTTTTGCCGACCGGTTTCCTCATCCTCAATTAAAGGAATTAAAATTTACAGTTGAATAGTTTACATAATAAATTTTGTTACAGTTGACTGTAGTTTGACCACGTAATTTAAACACATGAATGAAAATTTGTTGGTAA